AAAAAATTTAAATATTAAAAAAATTAGTAAAAATCTTCGCAGGCAAATTTGCCTGTGTTACAATTTAAGGGATAATGAGTCAAATAAAAAAAATCTTATATGCTTGTACAGAATCGGATATAAATAATTATTACCAAGAATTAAAGGCTAATTATTACCAGCAATATCCATTATTTGCAAAATACTATGAATGTCTTTGAAATCGACAACAACATTGGGCACATTGTTTTCAGCTAAATTTATTATTGCGTAGCAACCATACAAATAACTATATTGAACATAGCCTTGGCTTGCTTAAAGATATTATCTTTGCAAGAACCAAAGCATATAATTCAGTTCAGATCTTTTATTTTATTACCAAAAACATGGAACGATTTTATGAACATCGTTTATATAGATTTGCACATCGACATATTGGTCATATAGAAATTTCAAAGAGATTCTTTTGTCCCAGTTGGGAAACTGTTGATCAAGATTCAATCTGCCAGTTAGAAAATTCAGATGAATATTTAGTTCCAAGTACAAAAAAAGAATCAGGACTTATTTATAATGTTAATAACACTATTGGAATATGTAATTGTTTTATTGGAGTGTCAGGTGTATCATGCAAGCACCAAGGTGCCGTGGCCATGAAGTATTATATTAGAATTATCAATTTTTTACCTTCATTAACACCTAACGATCACATGACTTTTTCCTATATTGCAAATGGTTAGTACAGTATTAATATTGGTATAATGAAAGCTATATATATGCATGTAACATTATAATAATTTTTTTTAAGGACTCCATGTGAAAGATCATTTTTTTTATGCATCATTATGTACAAAACCTGCATTGGTCAATCAGCATAGTTTTATAAATAACAATGAAGATGATAATTTAAATGCTACATCAATAGCAGAATGCAGGGCTAGCACAAGCAATAAATTCAGGTTTGTATTTTTGCACGTCTATAATTTAAGTTATTCTTTTACAAAATTTACATATATATTAAATGTTATTTTAGTAAAATAGAAGATCAGGAAGCTGAGTTTGACCATTCATCTTTCAATGAATTTTTAGCAAGTGAGGTTGGCACAAGTAATGAACTTAGGTTTGTTATATATTATTTAAGTTATTCTACTATATATACTATTGCTACATTATTTTTATCTATTTAGTGAAATAGAAGATCAGGAAGCAGGGTTTGATAGTTCGTCTTTTACCAACTTTTTAAAAGAAATCAATGATGACTATAAAAACTGTAGCTTACAATTACAAAAAGCATTTGATAAGTTTGCTGAATACTACAAGACTGCCAAATTACAATCAATTGGACGAGCAGCTAACTTTCTTTATAATCATAATCTAAATTCAGCACGTATTAGAAGTGGGGCTACGATTAGAGTTCAACCTGAATCCGTAAAATGAAGAAAAGCAAATGTTAGATGAAGAGTCGGTGCAAGTAAGGAGAATGATCCTCAAGATATTCCAAACCATAAAACGCAAAAAATAAATAAAACAAGACATAGTTTAAGTTCAAGTATTTCAAATAATATATTGAATTAATATTGTAAAAGTTAATTTTAATATAACAATTCAGAAATTAACAAGCAAAAATAAAGCGATGATAGTATCAGGAATTTAATTTGCGTTATAATTATGAATTTATAATTCGAATAAATTGTGCATAAATTTTTTAGAATGAATTAAAAAAACGTGTTCATTGATTTCATAAGTAAAAGTATTTTTAATAGGCATGATAATGTAATACTATAATGTAGAACAACCTTTTTTCTTTTTTTTTTTTTGAAAACATTAAAAAAAAAAAGAATTTGATTTGTATTTCAGCGGTTGGCAGTATTGTATAGAGATAATTCATAGAGTAGGTGAATATATGATCGTATAGAGATGATTCATAGTGTAGGTAAATGTGCGAGCAATGCATAACATACCAATTTATAACATACTTATAAATACTTATAAATGCGAAGTTGATTTTTGCTATGTTCTATAAAATTTATTTCGTATATATGTACATATTATTTAGAAGTTTATTTATTATCTACTTTGCATATATATTTACAATGCCAATTATTGTACTGCATATTAATCAACATAACCTGGCACAGAATGTAGAGGTACTTGCCCAAGTTTGAGTTTCTTAATTTTTTGCTAATTTTTAAGCCTCAATATTATTAATTCTTAGGCCTTAACATTATTAGCTTTTATGACTTGGTTATTGCCTAATTTCAAGTTTCTAATTTTTTACTAATTTTTAAACCTTAATAAAATTGGCTTTTAAATTATATTAACTCTTAAAACCTGGTTATCATCGGAAAAAATTTTTAGTGCTGTTCTGCGCAGATTTGCAAAAAATTAAATAATATATTAAATAAAAATCTGTGCAAAACTTCAGACTCACCAGCTATAGCTAAAGAAATTAAATACAGTTTTGTGCAAATTTTCAAAATATAGGAAATTTTGCAGTTTTTTTGCAAAAAATTCTACAAAAATCTGCATTTTTGCAGGTTTTTGCAGATTTGCACTTATTTAATTCTCCCGATGATTAACTGAGTTCAAGTTTTTAATTTTTTACTAATTTTTAGGCCTCAATATTATTAGCTCTTAGAACCCAGTTGTTGCCCAGATTTGGGTTTTTAATTTTTTGCTAATTTTTAAGTCTTAACAATATTAGCTTAGTTTAAATTATATTAGCTCTTAGGATCTAGTTGTTGCCTGTATTTGTGCTTCTAATTTTTGCTAATTCTTAGATTTTAACAATATTAGTTCTTAAGACTCGGTCCTTAACTGGGTTCAAGTTTCCAATTTTTTGATAATTCTTAGGCCTTAGCATTATAAATTCTTAGGCCTTAATATTATTAACTCTTAGATTTTATTGTTATTAGCTCTTAGATTCAGGTGTTGTCTCGGGCTTGAGTTTTTAATTTTTTGCTAATTCTTAGGCTTCAATATTATTAACTCTTAGGCATTAATATTATTAGCTCTTAAGACCCAGTTCTTGACCAAGTTCGAGTTTTTAATTTTTTGCTAATTCTTAAGCCTTAATGTTATTAGATTTTAGGATCTGGTTATTGCTTGGGTTTGAGGTTCTAATATTTTGCTAATTATTAGTTCTAAATTATATTATCTCTTAAAACCTGGTCCTTGATCAGGTTTAAGTTTCTAATTTTTTGCTAATTCTTAGGCCTTAATGTTATTAATTCTTAGGCCTTAATATTATTAGCTTTTAGAACCTAGTTATTGCCAAAGTTTGAGTTTTTAATGTTTTGCTAATTCTTAGACATCAATAAAATAGTATTAGCTTTTAAGACCCGGTCCTTGACCAGGTTTGATTTCTAATTTTTTGCTAATTCTTAGACTTTAATTCTTAGAACTTAATTCTTAGGCCTTAATGTTATTAGATTTTAGAACCTGGTTGTTGCTAAAGTTTGAGTTTCTAATGTTCTGCTAATTCTTAGACATCAATGATATAGTATTAGCTTTTAAGACCCAGTTCTTGACTAGGTTTGTGTTTTTAATTTTTTGCTAATTTTTAGGCCTCAACATTATTAATTCTTAGGCCTTAATATTATTAAATCTTAGAACCCAGTTATTGTGTTTCTAATGTTTTGTTAACTTTTAGGCTTTAATGTTATTAAATCTTAAAATCTGGTTGTTGCTTGAGTTTGAGTTTTTAATTTTTTGCTAATTTTTAGGTCTCAACATTATTAACTCTTAAGCTTTAACATTATTAGTTTTTATGACCCGGTTATTGCCTGGTTTAAAGTTTTTAATTTTTTGCTAATTTTTAGATCTCAATAAAATTGACTTTAAATTATATTAATTTTTAGAACCCAGTTATTACCGGGTTTAAGTTTTTAAATTCTTAGATCTAACCAATATTAGCTCTTAGGCTTATATTATATTAACTCTTAGAACCCAGTCATTGCCTAAGTTTAAATTTTTAATTTTTTGCTAATTTTTAGATTTTAATAATATTAACTCTTAGGCTTAAATTATATTAATTCTTAAAACCCAGTCATTGCCTAGGTTTAAGTTTCTAATTTTTAATTTTTTAGTTTCTTAATATTTTTATTTTTTTATTTTATTTTATTTTATTTTATTTATTTTATTTTATTTATTTTTATATTATTTTATTTTATTATTTTATTTATTTTTTTTTATTTAATTTTTTTTATTTTTTATTTTTTTTAATTTTATTATTTTTTTATTATTTTTTATTTATTATTTTTTATTATTTTTTTTTTAATTTTTTATTTATTTTATTTTTATTTTTTTATTTTTTTTATTTTTTTCAAAATTTCAAACTCCGATTAGGCGGAGTTTGAATTTTGTCAATTTTGTGAGAATTTGAATCCCCGTAAGTCATATGACTTCGGCGCTTTGTCGGAGTTTCAAACTCTGTTTTGGCGGAGTTTCAAACTCTGTTTTGGTGGAGTTTGAAACTCCTTTGCTTTTGCAGAAATGTAAAATTTGAAATCACGTGACTTCGTCATTGTACAATCTGAGTTTCAAATTCAATTGCCTCTTTTTCGCTTCTTTCTTTCTTCTCTCTTCTTTCTTTCTCTATTTCACCTCTCCCCCACTCTTTTTCCCTTTCCCTCTCACACTCACACTCACACTCTCCCACCCACTATCCCTCTATCTGTCCCTCTCACTATCTCTCTTTAAAAATAAATTTATCTTTTTGTATCTACTATTCGGTAAATCTGTGTCACTTAATAAAAAAAGTAACACTTTTGCCTGCTTTGTAGGCAAAAGCATTACTTTTTTTATTAAGTGACACAGAATTGCCAAATAGTAGAGGGTAGATTATCAACCACATAAGAAATGCAATAATAATAATTTAGTAATTTAAATATAAATTCAAATGCGTAATAGAAATTGTGAGCATTTGAATGGCACTTAAAAATCTGCTAAAGGCAGTAACATCGAGTGACAGAATTTTCTTGGATATTGTTATGAAAATGGGGTGGGTACTTCTAAGGATAAAAAGAAAGCATTTAAATGGTACTTAAAATCTGCCGAAAGTAGTTATCCTAGTAGACAATGTAATCTTAGAAATTGTTATAAAGAAGGCATTGGCACTGCAAAGAATAAAAAAAAAGGCATTCGAATTACTTCTAAAATCTGCTAAATGTGGTTCTCCTGGTGGCAATTTAATGTTGGGCTTTGCTATAGGTATTACAAAGGATGAAAAGAAAGTATTTGAGTGGTATTTGAAATCTGCTGAGAGGGGTGTTTCTAGTGAACAATCTAGTCTTGGATTTTATTATTTAACTGGGGTATGCACAACTGTGGATGAAAAAAAGGCTTACGAGTGGTTTT